ATTTTTGAAATTTAGAACATGTTTTTGGCATTTTTGAAATGTGTAAAAGTAAACACCTTATTTATGTATTCTTCCCCTTTTAAAATGTTTTATTACATTTTTCAAGTTTTTATTTATTTTTGCACATTTTGATAAATCTCACATATTTTGAACATTTTTAATTAGTTTTTCCACATTTAGATTGACATATTTTGAACATTTTGGGGCATTTTCACACGTAATTATGCATGTTAGCTCATTATGGTAAATTTGGGCCTTTTTTTTTTTTTTTAATATTTCGTACTTTTTGTCAATTTCTTTTCGAAGATATGGTCCATTTAGCACGTTTTTGGTATATTTTGGAACATTTAATCCATTTTTTATATTTTAGTGAGTTGTTGCACGTATTTTGGCACATATTGGCATGTTACATTTCGACATGATTTTGGACATTTTCATATTTTGGTCCCTTTTTGACAGTTATGGTATATTTTGCACATTTTGGTACATGTTTTAGCCTTACAGTATATTTTGGTATACTTTTTGCAGCTTTTGTTACATTTTTATACCTTTCGTTATTATACCTTTTGTGTTTTTTGTACACGTTGGAGCGTTATGGTATTTTCACATATTTGTATATTTTGACACATTTTGGTGCATTTTAATGTATTTTAGCACATTATCGTAAATTTTGTGATGTATTTTTGGACACTTCGTACATTATGTACGTTTTGGAGCTTTTTGTTACATGTAGAGCATTTCGATACTTTTTTGTGAGTTTCACACATTTTTGGTCCATTTTTTGACAAGTTAAGGTATTTTTGGAGAGTTATGGTACATTTTGATTCGTTTTGATAATTTTTTTGGCATGATATAATATATTTCGCCCATTTTGGTATATTTTTGACACGTTTTGATGCATTTCATGCATTTTGGTACATTTTAGAGCTTTTCGATATATTTCACACATTTTTGTTTATTTTTGCACTTTTTGGTCTGGATATGGTGGTTGGATACTTTTTCCTAGTGGTGGCAACGAGCCGAGCCGGGAAAAAAAAGCTCGGGCCGAGCTCGAACATTTTTAGACCGAGCTTTTTTCGGCCCGAGCCGAGCCGGGCCCGGCCCGGCCAAAAAAAATGAGGCT